ATTAAATTCATAGTTGTCTCTGTGGCGCAATCGGTTAGCGCGTTCGGCTGTTAATTGAAAGGTTGGTGGTTCAAGCCCACCCAGGGACGACATATGCTTTTGTCCATTGATCGAAAAGTTTTGAGTGAATTGAAATTGTAGAAAGTGATGAAAACATTATGTGCCCGACGTGGTGCTCAAACCCACGACCCTGAGATCAAGAGTCTCATGCTCTACCGACTGAGCTAGCCAGGCTGACATGCAACCTTTTATTATTGTCACCTACCTCTCAGTTTGAGCAACTCCAGAGACTTATGCTCCACCGACTGAGCTAACCAGGCAGACCAAAAAATTAAATAACTTTATAGTTGTCTCTGTGGCGCAATCGGTTAGCGCGTTCGGCTGTTGACTGAAAGGTTGGTGGTTCAAGCCCACCCAGGGACAATCTATGCTTTTGTCCATTGATCGAAAAGTAATCAGTGAATTGAAATTGTAGAAAGTGATGAAAACATTATGCGCCCAACGTGGGGCTCGAACCCACGACCCAAGAGTCTCATGCTCTACCGACTGAGCTAGCCAGGCTGACATGCAACCTTTCATTTATTGTCACCTACTTCTCAGTTCGAGCAACTCCAGAGACTTATGCTCCACCGACTGAGCTAACCAGGCAGACCAAAAATTTAAATAAATTCATAGTTGTCTCTGTGGCGCAATCGGTTAGCGCGTTCGTCTGTTAACTGAAAGGTTGGTGGTTCAAGCCCACCCAGGAACGATTTCTGCTTTTGTCCATTGATCGAAAAGTATTGAGTGAATTGAAATTGTAGAAAGTGATGAAAATATTATGCGCCCAAAGTGGGGCTCGAAATCACGACCCTGAGATTACGAGTCTCATGCTCTACCGACTGAGCTAGCCAGGCTGATATGCAACCTTTCAATTATTGTCACCTACCTCTAAGTTCGAGCAACTCCAGAGACTTATGCTCCACCGACTGAGCTAACCAGGCAGACCAAAAATTTAATGAATTCATAGTTGTCTCTGTGGTGCAAACGGTTAGCGCGTTTGGCTGTTAACTGAAAGGTTGGTGGTTCAAGCCCACCCAGGGACGATATATGCTTTTGTCCATTGATCGAAAAGTTTTGAGTGAATTGAAATTGTAGAAAGTGATGAAAATATTATTCGCCCAAAGTGGGGCTCGAAACCACGACCCAAGAGTCTCATGCTCTACTGACTGAGCTAGCCAGGCTGACATGCAACCTTTCAATTATTGTCACCTACCTCTCAGTTCGAGCAACTCCAGAGACTTATGCTCCACCGACTGAGCTAACCAGGCAGACCAAAAAAATAAATAACTTCATAGTTGTCTCTGTGGCGCAATCGGTTAGCGCGTTCGGCTGTTAATTGAAAGGTTGGTGGTTCAAGCCCACCCAGGGACGATATATGCTTTTGTCCATTGATCGAAAAGTTTTGAGTGAATTGAAATTGTAGAAAGTGATGAAAACATTATGCGCCCAACGTGGGGCTCGAAACCACGACCAAAGAGTCTCATGCTCTACCGACTGAGCTAGCCAGGCTGACATGCAACCTTTCATTTATTGTCACCTACCTCTCAGTTCGAGCAACTCCAGAGACTTATGCTCCACCGACTGAGCTAACCAGGCAGACCAAAAAAATTAAAAAAAAATTACTGGTTGTCTCTGTGGTGCAATCGGTTAGCGCGTTCGGCTGTTAACTGAAAGGTTGGTGGTTCAAGCCCACCCATGGACGATCTATGCTTTTGTCCGTTGATCGAAAAGTTTTGAGTGAATTGAAATTGTAGAAAGTGATGAAAACATTATGCGCCCGACGTGGTGCTCAAACCCATGACCCTGAGATTAAGAGTCTCATGCTCTACCGACTGAGCTAGCCAGGCTGACATGCAACCTTTTAATTATTGTCACCTACCTCTCAGTTCGAGCAACACCAGAGTCTTATGCTCCACCAACCAGGGAGACCAAAAATTTTAATAAATTCATAGATGTCTCTGTGGCGCAATCGGTTAGTGCGTTCGGCTGTTAACTGAAAGGTTGGTGGTTCAAGCCCACTCAGGGACGATTTATGCTTTTCTCCATTGATCGAAAAGTTTTGAGTGAATTGAAATTGCAGAAAGTGATGAAAACAATATGCGCCCAACGTGGGGCTCGAACCCACGACCCTGAGATTAAGAGTCTCATGCTCTACCGACTGAGCTAGCCAGGCTGACATGCAACCTTTCATTTATTGTCACCTACCTCTCAGTTCGAGCAACTCCAGAGACTTATGCTCCACCGACTGAGCTAACCAGGCAGACCAAAAAATTAAATAAATTCATAGTTGTCTCTGTGGCGCAATCGGTTAGTGCGTTCGGCTGTTAACTGAAAGGTTGGTGGTACAAGCCCACCCAGGGACGATTTATGCTTTTCTCCATTGATCGAAAAGTTTTGAGTGAATTGAAATTGTAGAAAGTGATGAAAAAATTATGCGCCCAACGTGGGGCTCGAACCC